AAGATATCTCTGGCTCGGTCGAACTCATTGTATCTCTTTTCCAGCTTAATGTATGCGCTCCACGCAGCTTCATCGGGTTGCCATTGCATCCAACGATCAAAGACTTGGCGGGTTCCTGGAACGTTGCCCAGCATCTCTTCCATGTACACATATTTGTACCAAAGTTTATCGACACGAGGTAATCGTGTGACGGCCCTGTCGAGAAGATTACGCGCATGGTTGATGTTTCGGCATTTCACTGGGAGAAAGTCAGCTGTTTGTCTTGTCACAGAGGGTTGGGGTTGGTTTCCATACTCTCCGACTCGATGTACCTGATCCACAACTTGATCTCGTTGGGGTGCACATCGAGCGCGCGCTCGAAGATTGATCTTGCGCGCGCAAATTCCTTTTGCTCCAGCTCCCAGTCCGCATATCGCATCCAGTTATTGAGGTTGACTCTATTGCGTCGAACATAGTCTTCGAACTCTCGTCGTTTCCGGCCCTGGAATTCGTGAAGTTCCTCTAGATCGGCGAACCGCTGAGTAGGTGCCTGTAGAGCGACCTCTTGTCGGTCAACAGCCTCTCGTAGAAGTTGCTCTGCAGAGATCTGAACAGGCGCAGCGGCCTTGTTCTTGACCTTCGGGGGTCCTCGTGACGCCTCCATGGTGTCGAGCAAAGTCGAAATCGATTAAACTCGGGGAAACGCGTGAAGTCGCGTGTAATTGGGGTCGCTAAATGTGACGGTACAAAACTTCGGCTTTGTATGGGTACCGGCAGGTTGAATCGCGTTACCTTATTGCCCAATTGATGATATTCTGCACCAGTCGCAAACACCAACGATTCTCAGGCGACAGGCCCGAGGCTGAAGCGTTGGAAAAACGCAGCTCTTATCGGCACTAGCCACTCCGATAACGAGCTTCTGTGGCTTAGACCCACCCGTCGCGCCAAAACTTCCGTAGCCTCGCGAGGCTTCCGTAACTTTATATCCTCCCAATCTCACAACTTCGCCACGCCGTACTTCCTTCCTAGGCGACTTTACCATCCAACAGCCACTTCGGTAGCTGCGACTGGCGACATGGCGACTCTAGCAGATGAGCTGCTGAACGATTTCGAGGACTCTGGCTCGGAAGCAGAGGAGACTCAGCAAGACAATGATCCCCTAGGACTTGATCATGCGCCCGAGGCGAGCGGTCGCAAAGCATCGGGCAGCATGGATCTGGACGATGACCAGAGCGAACCTGAGGATCAAGATGAAGAAATGGGTGGGACACCCAAGGGTGCTGTTGATCCTGTCGAAGATGCAGAGGATACAAAGGCAAAGGTCGAGAAGATGCAGCTGGGTGGCGTCAACGATGTTCGCAGTGTCGCCAGTCTCATGTCAAGTTTGGAGCCAGTACTAGAGGTAAGTGACGCACCCGAAAGCACCACTAGCTTGATGGAAGCTGTGTTTACATCGTCTCTTGGGAGAACTAGCCCTAACATCGTCACTCGAACGCTACAGAAAATCGCACACTACCAGTCGCAACCGACCCCCACAGAACTGCTAGGCAACATCGAAGACCATCCCGAATACCACCTCCTGACACAATCGAACAGTCTGTCGACTCTCATAGACAGCGAGATCGTCTTGGTACACAAGTATATCAGGGACCACTACTCAATACGATTCCCAGAACTGGAGACGCTCATCACCAACCCACTGGAGTATGCGAAGGTCGTCGCGATCTTGGGCAATGGACCGCTTGATTCGGAGAATATCAAGAAGCTTCAGCACTCAACGGAAAATGTCCTTCAAGCTTCCCTGAAGTCCGTTCTTGACGGCCCATCCCTCATGATCGTAACAGTGGAGGCTACGACAACGAAGGGCAGAGACATGTCGCAAGAAGAACTGGAACGCGTATACAGAGCCTGTGAAATGGTAATTTCCCTCGACAAGGCGAAGAAGACCCTAACGGGCTATGTACAGTCGCGCATGAATCTGTTCGCGCCGAATTTGACTGCTATGATCGGTTCTCTGACGGCTGCTCAACTGTTGAACGCCGCTGGTGGACTTACTGGTCTGTCGAAGACGCCCGCGTGCAACATTGCAGCGTGGGGTTCAAAGAAAGGTGCTGGTGCCGCGGGCTTGGCTACGAATATTGGCGTCAGACAGCAGGGTTTCCTTTACCATTCACCCATCATTCAAGGCATTCCCAACGATCTCAAGAGACAGGCCATGCGCATCGTGTCAGCGAAGCTGCTACTCGCTGCCCGCGTCGACAGAATTCACTCCAGCGCCGATGGCTCGACGGGCGAGGATCTGAAAGAGCAGTGCCTCACAAGACTCGAGAAGCTCACGGAACCGCCTCCAAACAAGGGCCCCAGAGCTTTGCCGGTACCAGATGACAAGCCTTCCCGCAAGCGTGGTGGTAGAAGGGCAAGGAAGGCTAAGGAGGCTACGGCCATGACGGAATTGCGCAAAGCCCAGAATAGAATGGCCTTTGGCAAGGAGGAGCGTGAGGTCGGCTACGGCACAGGGGAGACCACGGTCGGCATGGGTATGATCGGTCAGGGTAACGACGGCAGAATTCGCAACCTCCAAGTCGATCAACGCACGAGGGCCAAGCTCGGCCAGAAGAACAAGGGCTGGGGCGGCGCAACGCCCATGGGAGGAGCGGCATCCTCGCTCAGGGGTTTTGGACAATCAGCAAACTCCAACATTGACCTACGCGGCAAGGGCCTGAGGACGTCAGGTGTTGGCACATCGCTGGGCGCGGGAGCGGGCACGGCATCCTCGCTGGCCTTCACGCCTGTACAGGGTCTGGAGCTCGTCGACCCCAAGGTCCAGGCTGAACTCAGTCGCAAGCGAAAGGCGGAGGAGGACCGGTGGTTCAAGGGTGGCACTTTCACCCAGGTTGCGGGCTCGTCCAATGATGGCTTCAAAAAGCCAGACTTGCCTCCCAGTAAGAGGGTTGATACCGGCGCCGGCAAGATGGGACCTCCACCTCCGAGGAGCGGCTGAGTGAGCCCGCCTAATCTAGCCGATGTGATTGTGGCAAGAGAGGAGGATGTTAATGGTCTAAGCAAGGATTCAAGAGTTTGGGAGAAGAAAGTCTACAAAGCATATCTCTTACCCGAAAAGCTAGCCCCGGCAGACGAAAGGGAAAATGAGGGGGGAGGGTGGGTTGTTTCCAGGTTGTCAAACGGGTTCCGCGGCTGAGCAAAGACGAAGCGAGTGATCACTCGGCCGGCGGGAAACGGCGTGCGGCGTTTTGGGGATGGTTTTCCATTATTCGAGTCATCGAATCAGTATCAGTATCAGTAGCAGCATACCATTTAGGCATTCTAGGGCGGGAAATGGAAATCAGACGAATTCTTTTTTTCTCCATTGCTCAACTCTGGGATCCCGTTCTTCTGTCCATGTCCGAGGGGGAAAAGGAGGGGCCAAAGACGTACCAGGTGTATGTTTGTCCGTTTCCTCACTACAAAGCAAAGCCCACGATTGCCGGCGCATTGCCGTTTCTACGTCTTGTCGGCAGTTCTTCATCTCGGCTCCTCCATGCGTGCTTGTGCGCTCGCGTGTGTTGTGTGAAGAAGAAAACTTTGAGACGATTGGAAAAAGATGTAGATTGGAAATCGCATGTCATGTGTGTAATAGCCCAACGGCCATGTCGATCAAACGTCTTTTTTTGGTCCCAATTCTTCTCTCTCTCTCCAGAAGATGTTCGTAAACTTCCCGTCGTCTCCCCGTGTGCTATATCCCCTTTACCAAAACGCCAACGTTTTGTTCCTTTTTTCGTGGTAGTAGCTCTTCTCCATCTTTACCTTCCCGTCGCAAAAAAAAAGCATGGTTTCGTAGAAACGTCTTTGCGGTTCATGCCAAAAGGAAATCTGAAAAATTCTGTTTCTTGGCTCCTTTGAAACAACGTTTACTTTGGGGGCCTCACCATCCGCCCAATCTTCACGACCCTTTGGTTCGAGGGTGAACGAACGGTCGATCGTCATCCGTGCCTTGAAAAGTTGAAAGGTAACAAACGTGCTTGGGCAGCGTGGCAGCGTTTGTTGGGCGAGCAACGCATCGCAACGCAAAGACTTTGGGTACTTAAAAAAAAATAAAACGCTCGTCCCTTTCTTCGAGAACCACGCAGAAGTACAGATATTGGAGCGGATGGAAACAGTTAGGTACGAAAAATGGAGAAATAATGAGAAAAAGAACACGAGGGGGAAAACCGTCGGCAGGTCGAGAGTCTAATTAGACAAGAGGAGGGCCGTGATGGCCTTCTTTTGCCCTTTTGGCCATGCCTGATGGGGTCTGGGCTCACCCAAGGGAAGAACGTTTCCTCTGTGCACACACACATTGTCGTCTTTCCACACGTCTTGATGTTGGGCTCATCCTCGTCACCCACCTATCAAGAACACGCCGCCTTCTGCCGCGCGAGATCTCTGAGAGACTAGACTTTTCTCCCAAGGTTCAGCCATTGTTCGGTAGGTTCTGCATTGAAGAGCTCGCTTACCCTCTTTCTTTATCTCGAAGCTCCCCGACTGTACCCCCCCACCGTTTGCGCGAAAGCTCTAATTTGGAGTAGGGCCGCGACAGGCTCGAACGGGGCCACGAGGCGACGATGCCCATAAGATTGAGAACAGACGGGATGCATCCTTAAGGGAACAAGGAAAGTTCTTTAGGGACTACCATACACAGGATGAAGCCCGCCCAGCATCTGTGCCCATACCTACCTACACTGTCGAGAGGTAGGGCCACCAGCTCACGCGACCACGCCGCGCAAATATTGAACGCCCGAACCTGTCGCCGTTGCGAGGCTTTCCAGACTTCGACTGGACCAGGATTTTCCGGGGTATCCCGCTATGAAACGCTGGGGATGGAACCTCGAGCCTATGCTTTTCTCTGCCCTCACGTCCCCCAAATATGGCGTGAGTTTGTTGTATGTGTATAGTTTTTTCTGTATCTCTTTGGCTTTCTCTTGTTCAAGGTTCTATACTGGACCCCGAGGATCTCGGAGTCGATTCCGACGGGCGAACAGTGATCACGCCAGGCACAGATCGACAGTTGACGATAGAGTTCGAAGCAACGTTGACACGAGCATTGCTTGACAAAAGCTCTGTGGGTTTGTACTCGTACGTTCCCGAAAATTACGCATTCTTTCGGCATGCCAATTATTGTCCTCTTCTCGGGAAGTCGACCATATTCTTCTACCAAGCCCGTAGGTAGTTGTCATTGTTCTGAGCTCATTGGCGCAATGGGTGCAGATCTCAATTGGGGGGGGGGGGGTTTGCAAACTTGCGCTGGGCTTACCTAGCAATGCGCCATTCGTGCCTGGAATAATGGGCACATGTTTCGGTCTGCAGTGGCCCCCGTTGGCCCAGCAAAAGTAACAAAAGTACGGAAAGCACCTTACTGTATCCGTACGGAGTACACCATAGGGCCCGTCGGGAATATCGTCCGCGGCCGAAAGACAAGCGGGGCCGGTAACGCATGCCCTCGGCCACAATGACGTACCGCTTACCATGACACGAGGGTTGCCAAAGCCGGAGTTAGGTCCCTTGAAAATCTATAGGTTATTACCCTTAGTATGAGTGGGGAGTCAGAATGCAAGCTGCAGCCTGCACTCCGTAGTCCGCACCGTACTACGTAAACCATGATCGATAGAGGTCCAGAGGGAGGGGGCGCTGCCTCACATGGACAGAGTCCCCGCCCCGGTGAGCTTTGCGAGGTCCCTGGAGTTTTTCTGTATCTGTCTCCGTACCCGCATCGTTCGCAAGGGTCTGAGGGAAGGGGAGGGGTTAGAGCGGACAAGAGAGCAGAAGAGGGGGAAAAGGGACCAAAGCCCTTCACCCTCGTATGTTTGGAACCACCCATCAGGAAAAAAGTAGACAGGCATCCCGTTGGTAATCTCTTGCCGACTGTGGCTTGTCTCATCACCTTCTCTGGCAACATGGACGTCTTCTCTTGCATCAACACATCAGCATGGACCCGAAATCCCATGGTCTGGCAGTTCGCTTTGATGGCACCTCCGAAATTTGACTTTGTGGCTGCAGCTGGACCCCATGTTAAGAGGACGGTCCAGAACTTCAGGGACCAGAGGATCGTCTTGATAAACGCAGGGAAGCCCCCAGTAGCAGACGACTTGTTCCCCAGAAGACCTCAGGCAACAAGGGACTAAGTGCACGAAGAAACAGGCCTGGCAGTACGTACCGAAGATACATAACCTTACGCGGTACGGATAAGTACCTACCTTAGGTCGTGACCTATCAGGGTTAGCAATTTCATTCCCCCGATAAAAGAAAGGAAAAATTGCCAGACAGCATTCCGTTGGTTGACAGTCCGAGGGTCCGTTATCGTTGATCTCGTGTCTTTCCAACCGCTCGGAGGCTTCTCTGTGTGAAACCAGGACCCAGGAGCACTCCGTCTTTGCTTGACAGCTTGGCGGGCCAATATTCCGAGTTCAGAAAATTTGTCGTTCAAGCTGACGCCAGTTGAATTCGAATTGAGCCTCGAGGGGAAAAGGACGATTAAAGAAAGAAACCGAAAGACAGGCCACTCGCAAGGGCCCACCTGCCAATGCCCCGTCTTCGGGGAAGACGTAGGGATGAAAACCCAATGACGTGAGGGTGATGTTGGATTATATTGGTCCCCAGCCGGACTGCGGGGAGGCACCCTTCTTCCCCGACCAACTGGACCCGGCTGCAGCGTTCAAGGACGGCGCTACAACGCCAGCTGGTTGGATGGGTGCAAGACAAGGTGGAGAAACAAGTACACTCGAAACGCAGGCAGAAAACGGAGAGATACGTGCATTTACTGAATTGAAGCCGGCCCGGAGACTGAGAGCACGCTTTGTTGGAGGTCCCTAAAAAGAACAGCGTTTTCAGGATAAGTCGAAACAGGACGCTGAATCGTGGACCGCGATCTTGTTGGAGGAAGAGAAGGATGAGGCATACTCGACCACTGAAGCGGCAACGAGGGCGAAGAGACGAGCAGACAATCATTGTGTACAACGTGTCAGCCAGCACCTGCATCCAGTCAATACTCAATGCGAGTTACACCGGGACACCGCGCACCCGTGATCGTAGGGGTTGCGCGTAAGGAGGCAAAGAACCTGTTTCTTTCTGCGCCCATGCTATGAGTTGGAATTCGGACATCTGTCTGTATATGCTTAACCCAAATGAAAGTAAACTGTCAGGGTGCAGGCATAAGCGCGCAGGGCAAGCCTGATACGGTTCTTCTGTCACTCTCTGTCAGTCTGCTGGGTCTGTCAGCAAGGCACACAGCAAGGTCCGGATAGGTAGCTGTCTAGATGCATAAAATACATGGAGCTACCTTACCTTAGGTAATGAAGCTCCATCCCGCAGTGGGGAGAGGTGTCTCTTTCACAGTTTGCCGGTGGAGTGGAATAGGATTGTGGACTCGTCTAGGCCTTGCCAAGGGGCACCCGATGTATCCGCCCGGCACCACGGCGTGGTTGAAACCAGGATAGGGTAGCTGCGCCAGGTGCGTTGGAAGGCTACAATCTGCCATGTCCCTGTGGTATTTCTGGCACGAGTGGAGCTGTCGCGACTGCGCGAAAGAGAGATGGCGAGGGGCGGCAAGAGAGTTTTCGTCTTCGGGGATCAGATGTCTTGCGAGAGACCTGTGTATCCGTACCTACGTCACTCTGGCGGTTGAAGGACGACAAAAGACCCGCCGCGAGTGATGGGTATGGAGTAGGTATGGAGCACGGAGTCGTGGAGGTATGGACCTGAGAGCTGCTCAGTAACCATATTTTGATCTTCAGCAATGGGCGTTGATGTCGGCGACCGTGCTGGGTCGAGAAATGAATGAACCAATACAGCGAGGTAAAACATATCAGCCGTCGTTTCTTCGCGCCTCATATTCAATTGGTGCCGAAGGAAGCGTTGCCCTGTGTACGCCTCAATACTCCAGCTCTCGAGATGATTGTCTGCAGCAAATATGCGCATATTCATGTCTTGTCGTCGCAGAGTGACCGGCCTGAGAGTGCGTGCTGTGTATTGTATTCGCATGCATTAAATGGTGCAAAAGCAGAGGCACACCGTACCGGAGCAGGCACTCCGGAACGTGTGTGCCTGTCAATCGGGATCGGTGATCGGTGATCAGTTGTGATCAGGCGGAATATTCTGCGGCTGGTGCGACGTTATCTTCAGGGTCTGAATGGTGCATTAGTTGGGTTGGGCTCCGTCAAGAGTAAGACTACTCGGTAACAGCGAGGGACCTTGGTTCGGTACCCTAGGGGTCGTGATCGTCGATCTAGTGTGTATACATAGAGCTGAGGATGGAGGTGGGGATAAGAGGGGAGACTCGAGAGTCAAGAGTGCGCGCGCGCGCACACCGCACACCGCACGTCGCACGCCTAGCGTCCACAGACGTTCTCCAAGGAATTGGACGGGAAAGTAAAACGGGGCGCAGGTTTGCGGGGCTGTCGGGTTGGACTTGCACCCTTAAAAATGCAATGTGCGAACTGCGCGAAGTAACCGTTCACGTAGAAATAGTCGCAGTCTCCGTATCCGTACTGGCCAGGGAGGTACCTCATGATTTTACTTACATGACATACCAAAGGTACCTGATGGGCTTATCTGGGTGCGCAGTACCTTAGGAACGCCCTCGAAGGACGCGACGGAATCCAGTCCGAACGGTACCTTGTTTGGATCACCGTCGAATTTCATCCGTACCTGGTCCAATTGCAAGACAGAGCAATGATTCCCGACGGGGTAAGAGACTTGGAATAAAGTCTGGAATTGTAATAGACTGGCAGATGCGCACAAAGGAACGGGAACGAAACCTTCTTCAACTCCAACAAGACCATTCATAGCATTCGCAAGAGACTGAGGCAATAGAGGTGAGGAATAGAGGGGATGTCCACGCCAGTGGGTAAATAAGCAGGGCAGCGGCGGCGCATCGCATGATTGACGGCAAACGGACTGGTGTGGGTTCCGTGTCTGGATTGGTTGAACGGCGCTGTCCGACGGAGCAGCTAAGACCCTGGAGATCGGAAAATACATACCAAATGATGCACCATGCCTACCTCAGCCATCGTCGATGAGGGACAAGTCACCACCACATGGGATTGTACGTACATGTGTGGCACCCTTGTTCGCTCTCCGGTGATTGCGCCACAGGGACGTGGAGCGTTGGAGAAGTGACGGGACGGGGGAAGTGAGGCAGACGAAGAAGGATGTGAGGAGAAGAGGAGCAGAATTGACTGGATAGTTGCATGTCCGGACTTACAAGAGGCTACCGTAGATAATTTAAAGGGGCACTTGACGAGGAGGACGGATACATGATAAGGTACAGAGCACCTCGCAAGCGGATATTAGGATCAGAGCCAAAATGGGGTAAGGAACCTCAAGGGCAGGAACTCTGGGGCACCATTCCGGATGTCGCAAAGCAGGGAAGAGGGGGATGCAGGACTACGTCTACAGCCACCCCCTTCTCACCCCAGCTGGGTACTTCCTGATCAGCCTATCTTACTACGATCCTCAAGTATCTACTCAAAGGGCCCGAAGACGGGCGGCTGGGAGCAGGGGTTATCTAACAATGGCAGTTCGTCGAGGGGTCCAGCAAGCAACACAAGTTACAACACACCAACATCAATCAGGTGCAAGGAACCTTGGTGGGGCCGCACCTGCCCGCTAGTCCGCCCAGCCCGTTTTGAGCACAATAGGGCCCATACGCTTTTTTAAACCCCGATTCACTGCCATTCTCGAGATCTCGAGGTTCACTGGTGAGAGCAGTCAGCCGTAGGACCCTTCAAACTCTGTGACGCCGCAAAGGAGAGGGATAAAAAAAAAAAACTTGCTTTGCCCAACCCGCCGACTCGTTCCTTGGAATGGCGAAGCATTAGCGCCGCCGCCTTTTGGAGCCACACGTCCCCGAAACCCCATCTCCTCCCATGGCAATCGCGATCTGTTTGTTATATGGCGATTGCCATGGCATTACACTTGCAGTTGCAGACTTTGCTGGATCACTGAGACTGGCCAGTTCATCACCCCAACACCAGAATGCCCCTAGGGTCCTCCTCGTCCCTGATTTCTCGCCCTGCGTCGTGTGCCCTCGCCTCGCGTAGCCCCGATGCTCTGGAGCTTACCCTCCGCGACTCCCAAACTTGTCACGTCGATTCCGTAGATGTCGTGTCTCGTTGTTGAAGCATGCACACACCATGTAAGTTGGACTAGGAGTACCTTTGTAGCCGCGGCTCCAAGCTGCCTCACCGGTCGAGAGCTAGAAGCAACTCTGTGCGGTACGTATCTGATAGCCGTGCATCCGTCCCTCCTCGTCTTAAGTAAGCAGTCTTGTCTTCTTTGGTGCTGGTGCCCAGGTTGCCCAACCTTACGGATACCTTAGTTCTAAACGGCAGGTGTGTATGGTCCACGTTCCATGAGTTCGTCAACCGGTGGTGCCATTCAGGGCATTACATACCTAGTACACCTCTGCCCACAGCACGGTACCTGGCTGTAACTACTTCCCTACCTACCTGGGCCTACCTATGTATCCGTATGGGAAGCCACCGTTCCCGTTTTCTGGAACGTGCACCATACCGCTTGCGAGGGTTTCGCCTGCCGATTGTCCAGCCATACAGATGTCGACCGGAGAAAACTCCGCTACTATGCTAACCCGCCAAAAACAGGACAGCTAAAGGCCGACGGTGCTTTTTGACATTGCGCACCATGTTTCTGACAAACGGCCAAATATCTACCATCACTCAAAGGTTGGCCGGTGTATCAGCATACCTCGCTCAATTTGATTGATGGTGATTATCTCAGCGATCGTTCCACCTCTCATCTGTTACATTGCGGCAGGGTCACTTACTCGTGAACTCACAGATAAACATGGGCACCGTCTGCAGCGAGCCACTATCACACAGTCGCGAAAACGACCAGACCATCAGCCCTGGGTCTGGGCCCACGGGGACAGTGCTGTCACGTCACAGCAAAGAGGAGAAGGACTCAGGAAGCAGTGCCGGACTTCATTGA